TTAAGAACTTTCTCATTAGCAGGGCTATTTATTCATTTGATGAACTGTAATTGACTTTTCTTTCCCTACTAATCGAAGTATGTTTTAACTGTTAGTTTGTTGTTCTTTTACAATTTTTCCCATTTACAATAAGCATGTATATTTTTTATAACTTATAAGAAATGTGACTAGCCTATTCATGTATATATTTCTAATGTACTTGATGACAAAAGATAATTTGAATTTAATTGAATTGAATTGAATTGAATGTCTACATGACCGCGGGAGATGTTCATGATTTTGCCACGATCGTTCATGACAACGATGACATGTGACCGCGGGAGACGATAATAACGTCTACACGTCCGCGGGAGATGTTCATGATTTTGCCGCCATTTCGCATGACGATGATGACGTTTCTGTGACTGCGGGAGTAGACAATGATGTTTACACGGCCGCGGGAGATGATAAAATCTTTGCCGCGACCGCGGAAGACAACTATAATGTCTACATGACCGCAGGAGATGTTCATGATTTTACTGCGATCGCGAAAGACGACGATGACATTTCCGTGACCGCGGGAGTAGACAATGATGTTTACACGGCCGCGGGAGATGATAAAATATTTTGCCGCGACCGCAGAATACAACGATGATGTCTACATGACCACGGGAGATGCTCATGATTTTTCCACGATCAAGCAAGACGACGACGACGTTTCCGTAACTGCGGGAGGCGATGATACCGTCTATACGTCCGCAGGAGATGTTCATGATTTTGCCGCGATCGCGCAAGGCCACGATGACGTTTTCATGACCGCGGGAGAGAATGATGATACAGTATCTACACGGCCGCGGGAGATAATCAGAATTTTTCCGCGGCCGCGGAAGACCTCAAACCAAAAGACGCCAGATTACTGGAGTGCCAGAGTGGTACAGTGCAGATTATATAGGGTCTACTGTACAATGTTTTATAATTAAAAAATAAGACAGCTGCTGGTACATATAGATGGGCTGTCTACTTCAGTGTCCAATAGTCGATGCGTGTACATTACATATTTTTGGTTGAGTTTTGGACCACTGGACGACCACTAGTTCATATTTAAAGGGAATTAAAGAATTTAGTCAGCTGTTTCAACTAAAAAAGTTAGTTCTATGATATGCAAAAGCATTAAAAAGTCATACGATTTACCAACAGGATGCAGCACTTTTTGCAGCAGCAACAAAAAACTGTGATACGCAACGAGAACTGTCAAAGTAGGATTGTTAACAATTATGTTTATGTTTTTAATTTCATGAATAATTTGTGATATTTTGCAAATTTTTGTTAATTTATTTTTCTCTATTGTTTAGGTGAAGTGGTAGAACATTATGGCTATGGTAGATGTGTAATACTATAGTATACTATAAATTTAAAGAAGTAAATTTATAAAACTGTGTTCTCTCCCATTGCAAATGCAATGCTTGAGTATAACTGCAATAAGCATTTTATACTTATATGCCAACCCCGTACGAAGGCCGAGTACCCTGCTAGTATATATAAATTTGTAGTATATATATATTAGCTGGCTATTAGCGGGACAGCTCAAGCAAAAATCCTCCGATTTTGATGAAATTTGGTACTTAATCGTGTAAACCCAAGTTTGTTTAAACAAGTTCACAAACCAGCATGACCGGACCATGGGAACCGGGTTTTGTGGGGGGTGTTGGTTTCTCATTTTTGATCCTCAAAACATAACTTTTTTTCTCTTTAAAACATTTTTAAGAGCTTACACAAATAATTTAATATTTTGATGAGTTTCTTTTTATACAGTTACGGAGAATATTTAAAAATTTTATATTTAAGATTTCCATGTTATTCTTATGGAGAGTAAGTAAACTGTTCATAGTTTGCTTGTTTATAGATATATTTTGATTAAACTTGGCAAATGTATTTATTTTATACCAAACTATTAATTTTACTAAAAATACACTTTATTTTTTTACCATCCCTGTAGCAGCAAACCTAGGTTCTCATCTCATTAAAGCTAGTACCTGGGGACCGAGCTTTGCTCGGGGAAAATTATTACTTTACTCTGAAAAGTATTACAGATACATTAATCCACTCCCAATCTCCACACTGCTTACCTTCACTACTTACTTCACCACTCCCTACGTCATGGACCTGTTTTCCTCTCCTCCCTTCTCGTAGCATTTTAGGATTGTAGATACCTTAATGTAGTTCCCATAAACAGTTCCCAGGCTCCAGACTGCTCGCCTTTACTACTTCCTTCACCACTTCCTACGTCGCGGACCTGTTTCTCCCCCTTCCAATGGCATTTTAGGATTGCAGATACCCTAATCTAATCGTCATTAACAGTTCCAACACTCCGGGCTGCTTGCCTTTACTACTTCCTTCACCTCTTCCTACGTCGCAGACCTGTTTCCCTCCATTCCCATAGCATTTTAGGATTGTAGATACCTTAATCTAATCGTCATAAACATTTCCCACACTCCAGACTGCTCGCCTTTACTACTTCCTTCACCACTTCCTATGTCGCAGGCCTCTTTCCATCCCTTCCCATAGGATTTTGGGATTGTTGATTCTTTAATCTAATCGTCATAAACAGTTTCCACACTCCAGACTGCTCGCCTTTACTACTTCCTTCACCACTTCCTACGTCGCGGACATGATTCCCTCCCGTCCCATAGCATTTTAGGATTGTAGATAACTTGATCTAATCCTTATTAACAGTTCCCACACTCCGGACTGCTCACATTTACTACTTCCTTCACCACTTCCTACGTTGTGAACCTGTTTCCCTCCCTTCCCATAGCATTTTAGGATTGCAGATTCCTTAATCTAATCGTCATAAACAGTTTTCACACTCCAGACTGCTCGCCTTTACTACTTCCTTCACCACTTCCTACGTCGCGGACCTCTTTCCATCCCTTCCCATGGGATTTTAGGATTGCAGATTCCTTATTCTAATCGTCTTAAACAGTTTCCACACTCCAGACTGCTCGCCTTTACTACTTCCTTCACCACTTCCTACGTCGCGGACCTGATTCCCTCCCTTCCCATAGCATTTTAGGATAGTAGATAACTTGTTTTAATCGTTATTAACAATTCCCACACTCCGGACTGCTCAGCCTTGCTACTTCCTTTACCACTCCCTATGTCGTAGACCTGTTTGCCCTCCTTCTTTATACTATTTCAGAATTGCAGATACATAAATGCCACAGACGGTTCCCACACTCTGCACTGCTAGCATTACTACTTCCTACACCATTTCCCACGTCATGGGCCTGTTTTCCTCCCTTCTCGTAGCGTTTTAGGATTGTAGATACCTTAATGTAATTCCCATAAACAGTTCCCAGACTCCAGACTGCTCGCCTTTACTACTTCCTTCACCACTTCCTACGTCGCGGACCTGTTTCCCTCCATTCCCATTGCATTTTAGGATTGTAGATTCCTTAATCTAATCGTCATAAACAGTTTTCACACTCCAGACTGCTCGCCTTTACTACTTCCTTCACCACTTCCTACGTCGCGGACCTCTTTCATTCCTTCCCATAGGATTTTAGGATTGCAGATTCCTTAATCTAATCGTCTTAAACAGTTTCCACACTCCAGACTGCTCGCCTTTACTACTTCCTTCACCACTTCCTACGTCGCGGACCTGATTCCCTCCCTTCCCATAGCATTTTAGGATTGTAGATAACTTGTTTTAATCGTTATTAACAATTCCCACACTCCGGACTGCTCACCCTTGCTACTTCCTTCACCACTCCCTATGTCGTAGACCTGTTTGCCCTCCTTATTTATACTATTTTAAAATTGCAGATACATAAATGCCACAGACGGTTTCCACACTCTGCACTGCTAGCCTTACAACTTCCTTCCCCATTTCCTACGTCATGGACCTGTTTTCCTCCCTCCCATTACATTTTAGGATTGCAGATACCTTAATTTAATCGTCATAAACAGTTCCCACACTCCAGACTGCTCGCCTTTACTACTTCCTTCACCACTTCCTATGTCGTGGACCTGTTTTCCTCCCTTTCCATAGCATTTAAGGATTGCAGATACCGTAATCTAATCGTCATAAACAGATCCCACACTCCACACTGCTACCCTTGACTATAGAATCTAGTAATCTTCAGTATAATCTTTGCTCAATAGTAACAACTGATGTTTTTCCTTTTGTGCTGTATTTTGTTTTGCTAGTATACTGTGGATAGACAAATTACAAGCTACAAGTCTTTTGTTTACTTTTTCCTTGTTATTTCATTCAGCCAACATGGTTACCTAGCAACCCATAAGACTAATGTTAAAAAAATGTGATTTTCAATTTCATTTTTCTACGTAATTAGATTTTTGATGGCAGTTCTAATTGCAGTAAACTCGTTTTTAGGCCAGAAATAAACTTTAAACAACATTTGAAGAAAATCGTCGGAGCCGTTTTCGAGATCTTGGTGCAAGCATACATACATACATACATACATACATACATACAAGCAAACTTTGCTCGTATTAGAGTATAGGATTGTTATTTATATAGATTTAAGTAAAAATCAAATCAGGCAAATGGAAATTTGCTTAGCCTGGCAGGTTTGCTGCGGCGGTGGTATTCTTTTTGATTCATATTACACGTTTAGCAGTAGGCCTACCTTAGAAGTTTTGTGTCACTTTCCTCTATAAACTTTCAAATACAGACAAGTGCAACTTTATTTCAAAAGTGGCATTGGACTCACAAAGCCTAAAGAGAGTTTCCTAAGCTATTGAAATAGAAATGATCAAGTGTACCAGACAAATAGGTACCACATTCATAATTCATTAACTACTTGAAAACAGTGGTAAATGCAAACACAGGTAAGACAGTTTATACTGAATATGAATGAAGAATGGTGAAAATCTCAATGATTAAGAACCCCCAAAGAGCTATCTGAACCAATAAAAAGATGAATCTTTTTTCATGGTTAAACCGCTCAGTTACATGTTATGATATCTGAATTACAAAATTTGAATAATAAACTTACATGAATTGTCAGTTATCCATTCAAGAGAAGCTGGTCCATAGTCTTTGAAGTAACTAAAAACATCATGAGTGGTCATCTCTTCAGTGCCTCTCATGTGGAGGGCTTCTGTTCTGATGTTCTTGTCTGTTGGCTTTACACACATGCTGTAAACATTAAACAAGCCAATTTAAATGCAACTATCCCAACTCGACTTTCACAATAGTCATCATCATATTTTTTCAATAGATTATTTCATAGCCACCTCATCAATTTCTTTGAAGCCTATTTGTTTACTAACACGTCATAAGCAAGATTCATTGGATTTGACCCGCCACAACCACGGAAATCTTTAATAAGGTTCAATTAACTTCCGAGAGAAATATTTTCTGTTGAACATCCATAATCTGAACAGCCCATGTATACGCACTGAGGAGTGAAGAATCCACAGACTGAATGAGTAAAATCGCCTGAGATGTGTAAGGTACATAGATGAGCAGTAAGTAAACACTTGCACAAACAAAAGTGAGCGTGTGAACCAGTCTAAAACTTATCCTAAAAACGAACTAAAATATTTTAAATACTGAGAGCCTCTCACTATGGTAAGAACAGATATGAAAATAGGCTATTCGTGGCTTGTAGTGAGACTAACATGCAAAATGTTATGAACAAACATACCGTACTACTATGTACCGTAAGACAAGTCATTGTAGCAAGTAAGGTATACAATCATTGATGATTTTACTTGATTTACAGCTAGTTATGGCCAAACCCAAACCAAAACGGGTACGCCTAAACAAAAAGGCTTGCCCTAATATTAAGTAACTAGCAGAGTACCCGTCCTTCGTACGGGGTTGGCATGTAAGTATAAAATGCTTATTGCAGTTATACTCGAGCTTTGCGTTTGCAATGGGGGTGGACACAGTTTGATAACATTTGCTTCTTTAAATTTACGGTATACGGTATTAAACATTTACCACAGCCATAATGTTCTAACTTTTCACCTATTTGCAAAATATCATCTTCAACTTTTTCAACTATCAACTTTCATTAAATTAATAGCATAAACATAACTGTAAACAATCCTACTTTGACAGTTTTCATTGCGTATCACAGTTTTTTATTGCTGCTTAGTTCAAATTAGCTGTTTTCATAAATGCAAAACAATTATAGTGCTGCACCCTGTTGGTAAATTTTTGTAACTTTTTAATGCTTTTGCACATCATTGAAACCATTTTTTTTTTTTTTTTTTTAGTTGAAACAGCTGACTAAATTCTTTCATTCCCTTTAAATATGAATACTCATAAGGTTAACATGGGGAACTGCAGAGCCACTGGGGCAGAGCCCGAAAGGATTTTTGAGATAAGAATATGCCTATGTGTTAATCGGGAATGTGAGCTATCATCATGCCAAATTTCAGCCCAATCCGTCCAGTAGTTAATGCGTGATTGAACTTTAAACAAACAAACACACAAACTTTCACATTTATAATATTAGAAAGATTAATTAATATGGGTAACTTAATTCTCTGAATATTGCATGAAAAAGGGATCACAAAATACATTGGTTCCTCCTCCTGGAATGGGGAATTGGTTCACCTCCCCATCCTTAGTGAGGTTGAATTTGGGGACCTCCCTCAAAAATAATTAGGTTTCTAAGGTTCCAAACCCGGGAGTTTATTTTAAGTTCTGACAACAGCTAATAATTTAAAACACACCTCCATTATGACTGAGTCTAAAATGCTGGATTTCAATAATTTTTTGCTTGGTACCGGTAATACAAATTTCATCGCTAAAAAAACTTGACATGGGTACAGTAGAGTAATAAATAGCACTCCTATAAGTTACATGCAAGATGTTATCCACCAAGGATTATGTCATTCATCTGTAGGACAACGTTCACCCTTCTTTTTTGGTCTATGGTATTCGACCTATATTATAGATAACAAATGTATCCAGCTTGATGCATTGATGCAACTAGCTTACCTCTTATAAAGTTTTTTTAAAAGTTTCTCTGTCAAAACTTTGCCTTCAGAGGCTTCGATTCCGAAGCGTTGTGCACGTTTATCTAGTTTTGCCTGTTCCTCTGGGCTGAAAATGTTGACACCAGTAACAAAAGCTCCATTTGGGTTCTTTACAGCTGCTGCTGTTTGCTGTTGAAGCTCAACATACTCCTGAAAGAGATATTTGCATTAAATTATACTGTGTTTGAGAGCAAAACAAGATTAGCCTAGTTACAAATAATCTACCTATCAATTATCAATTATCCATCATTGAGATGGGGACGCCACCTAGGTGCGTATTTTAACCCAATGAGTGAAGGATGAGTGTAGAATGGTGTGTCTAGACACAACCATAGGTTATTGTAAAGTTATACAGGATCAGTGGCGTACCTATGGGGGGATGAGGGGTTAAAGAAACCCCCCCCCCCCCCAGAACCCTAAAATGAAAATAGATATTTGTATCACAGCAATACTACTTCTTTAAAATAAAGTTGTGTGAAGTTTATAACTAAAACTGATTATTTGGTTTTGTTAATATAATTTGTTAATTATTAGTGGATTTATATAGAAGGCCTAAACTAATTTTAAAAGGTTCATTTTATTTTATGAATACACCCAGGCAGCGGGAGTAAATTTGGAGAATGGTAGTGTAGTAACACTGCAGGCATGTGCGGTAAGCACTAAGCAAACGCCAGACTCAGAGTTTAGTGAGTGGGAGAAAATTTCGCGCCGTTCCGGCCAAACCTTGCATGCGGGGTTGGTTCGGCAGATTGGCCACAACCTAAACCCCAACTCTCACTTGTTAGCTGCGGAGAGCTACCTTCTGCCACTGGTACCAACCACCTACAGAACCAAGTGAGGGGGGCCCTAGACTAAGGTGTAATGCGATCCGTGCCAAGAGTCTTGTGGCACTGGGGGCCTAATATTCAGTGTCTTAACGGAGCCTTCTGGGAACCAGGGGTAACCCAGTCGTACACACCCCTTACCTCTCTAATCGGGTCACTGGGGAGGTGGACTTAAATACCCGGTATTCGTGAGAACAATGTAGACAGTCTGACCCAAATGGAGGAGGAAAGTCTACTGAAATCTGACGATGACGACAAGCTCGCAGAAACCGGAAAGGAACGAAAAACGACTTTCCAGGGGCGAGTTGCAAAGATGGAGGATAGCGGATGCTTTAGCCAAAGGCGAAAAGGTGCTATCCAGAAGTGAGAGGAGGCTGGTGTGGGCTGCCAAGCACCCTAACTCTGCTGCCTGCAAACCCAGTTCCTCCGGGAACTAGGATGCTGGGAAAAAGCAGAGCAAGGGTGGTACCCCCAAAGCTGACTCTAATGAAGCCTCCAGGAAGAAAGGTGGAGGCTGTGCTGACGCAGCCACAAAGGATTGGCTGGTCAAGCAAGTTCAGGAGCTGAGACCTTTCAGGGAAATCTCGCTACGGCTTGCCCCAGCCAGAGACCTTGTGAAAGCTGTGAAGGTATATTTATGTGCCCAGCCCTACAAGGTTTGCGTATGAGATCCCTCGTACGAAAAACGACTTTCCAGGGGTGAGTTGCAAAGACGGAGGATAGCGGATGCTTTAGCCAAAGGCGAAAAGGTGCTATCCAGAAGTGAGAGGAGGCTGGTGTGGGCTGCCAAGCACCCTAACTCTGCTGCCTGCAAAGCCAGTTCCTCCAGGAACTAGGATGCTGGGAAAAAGCAGGGCAAGGGTGGTACCCCCAAAGCTGACTCTAATGAAGCCTCCAGGAAGAAAGGTGGAGGCTGTGCTGACGCAGCCACAAAGGATTGGCTGGTCAAGCAAGTTCAGGAGCTGAGTCCTTTCAGGGAAATCTCGCTACGACTTGCCCCAGCCAGAGACCTTGTGAAAGCTGTGAAGGTATATTTAGGTGCCCAGCCCTACAAGGTCTGCGTATGAGATCCCTTGGCCTATTGATGGGAGATCAAAGGGAAGAACAGGTCACCATAGTCAAGAGGCTCTCACGGTTCACCAAGGACCTGGGATTTGGCGGAGAATGAGGACCTGTGATCGAGGGTGCACAATAAGCTGTTCTAGCTGCGATGCAATCCCATGGTAACTTGTAAGCCTGGCCCTCTGTAAAAAAAAAAAAAAAAAAAACCCCAGACAGCATTTAGATTAGTTGTTTAAGTCTCTGTGTTCTAGTTCTGTTCTATAATCTGTAGTTGGTAAAGACTGTTATGCTATTTACTTCCAACTATCAATGTGAATTGTGAACGATTTAACGAAATGTCAAAGAGAAAAGTTTCTCAGAGTTAATTGACAGATTTGTTAAGAAAGCACTATGACTGTGACTGTAAAGCATAGCGGTAGGCCTACTTCTTCATAATCAAGAAATACTTTTCCTTGAATCCGATCGGCCAGAGACAGCCTCAATTGGGTTGATTTTTTTAGTTCTTTTGAACATGATAACACCTCTGGAATGCCTGAAAACACAAGTTTGGAGTTCTAGTTTTCCAAATTTTCCCAGACCCCCCTCTTTACTGGGGGGTTTGCATAGCCCCAGACCCCCCCCCCCCCCCATTAGTGCAGACTTTGAGCTCATCCATCCCCCCCTAAGCCATGTTCTAGTTACGCTAGGCCTACAGAATGTCCCCAAACAGCCTGAACCCCTTTTGTAGGATTGTTCTTAGGGTAGAGACGAACAGATTTTGCAGCATAACCATGGGTCTTCCATGAGTAGTTTTCCGTCTATCTGCTCGTATGTGCATTTTTACCAAATTCCATATATAGCTTCTTACCGCTTCAACATAGAATAACATACGTAGGCCTATAGAAGAAGTTACGTTGCGACACTTTTTCTGCCACTGCCTTCTGGATTTCATATCTGATCAGAATAAGTACTTATGATCCCGAGTGCCATGGTCGGGTATGAATTTTTTTGTTTTTGAGAGTCTGCTGAAAGGGATGTCTATTTCATTGTAACGCACTGGTTTGATGTGCATGTATGGTACTTCTTGTAGGGAAATTTAATAGGTTGTCTATTAGCTACCGGTACTATATGTCTAGGCTAATCTCAACAAGTTGGCCGAGGCTAGTGCTAAACTTAGCCTTAAGTTAGGCCTATGTTAATTTCTAGTTTTTTGTCAATTCTGCTCTTCAAGCTGGATGAAAGACATCTCTAAGCAAATACAAATTCTTAACTTAGATGGATTAGGCCTACTTGCATGTTTCAATAGTCTAAGTGACTTAACTTAGTAGGTACCAATACTCAAGAACCAAAAAACCCCCAAGCCTAATTGCCACAAGTGCTAAAGCCCATCTCCTGTATTCTAACAACAACAAACACGCAAAAAATCCTGAAAATAAAAACCCCAGCCTTAAAATTTATCACTTAAACATTCAAAGAGGACTCCACAAGAAAATTGAAAAATTACTATTTGAAATCCATGAAATAAATCCAGATATAGGCTACTAATGATTTCAGAACATGGCCTAACATATGAAGAACTTAAAGCAGTAAATATACCTAATTATATTCTATCCTCTGGTTTCTCCAGACATGTTCATAAATAGGGTGGAGTAGCTATTTATATTAAGGAAGCAATGAAATACAAGCAAATTCATGAAATAAACATTTTCACAAGTTGTATAGGCCTATGCTTTACGAAGAATTAGAAGTCTAACAAACAAAGAAATTACTATAACTGCATATCATGCAATTTTTTCATCACATATCAGATATGGCATCATAGCCTGGGGCTCTGCAAATGAAACTCACATTGAGAAAATAATAACCTTACAGAAGAAAGCAATTCGAATAATAGAACAAATTGAACAAGAAGAACCACAAATGTAAACCTTTCTTTATCAAAAATCAAATCCTAACTGTAATCTCCCTTTACCTTTTTGAAACAATTACCTCAATTAAATCAAATCCCCCCCAACTCAGAATCCAATGTCACAACTACAACATCAGAAACAAATCAAACCTTGACTTGGGGCCTACTCTATCATAGGCTAAACAAAACCAGCAAAACACCAAACAACATGCGGATCAAAATGTTTAATCTTTTGCCAAAAGAACTCAAAGAAATAAACTTAAGTGAAAATAAAACTTTTAAAAAACAACTCAAACAATACTTGATTACTTAAACGACCATATTATAAACTAATTGACTTCATTAATGAACACAAATATAACCGAAACAACGGCTGCACTTTACTTGACGTCCTACACTCATTCGAATGAAAATATCGATCAATATATCGATTGCTTCATTCGATATATCGTTTGGTTAGTTAGGTAAGGTTAACCTAACCTAACTAACTTAACCAAACGATATATCGAATGAAACAACCGAATGAAAATATCGAATCGAAAAACAATCGAATGAGTGTAGGACGTCAAGTAAAGTGCAGCCGAAACAACAAATAGGAGAGCAATGCTCAAATACACTCACACACATATTAACAAGAAATTGACGATTCCCCTGTCTACGAGGACGGCGGAGAAGACATCGATGGTAAATGGTAGGCCTACTACCTAACTTAAGTCATTGATGTGAATCTGCCAAGCAAGATGACTACCTATGCAAGTAAGGGTACAGTTTCTTAACTGGGCTATGCTAATATCGATTGAAACTATTGATTCGATTAGTAAAACCTTAATGCGATTTATTCAACATGAGCAAGTTTGGTTGGTTAGGTTAGATTACGGTACTTAGATTATGAAAGTTTAATTTTATAATATAGGTATTTAAAAATATTGATTATTAATCAATATTTTTAATTCGATAGCCTAGTTTAAATTAATATTAGCATAAACTTAGCCCAGTTAAGAAACTGTAGGCCTACCCAAGGTGAATCCTAAAACAAATGTTCCTAGCAACACTGGATAGCCTAGGCCTACAAAAAAATTGCATGTTTAGGTCTTACCTTTGTATCATATTTCAATATGGACCTCCCAGTAGGCACTATTTGGGTAGCTAGTTTTAAAGCGGAATTTGATTTTCCATTAACCACCCCAAGCACCTCATCATCATCAACAACTTCACCCTCTTCAGTATCTGAGGAGACAGATCCAACCTTATTTGAACCCAAACTACCTTCGTCTGTTTCCATATTTTGAAGATCATTTTCTATTTCAATTTTTAAGTTAGGAAGATCATCAACCAATGTATCACTAGCTCTTTCACCCAATATAGACATGATTCTATATGTAATCGAAACTGTGACAACTTAACCTCTAGCCTCGAAGTTAGCTGTAAACTTGACACAGTCTTCAAACTCTTCTCTAACCACTAACCAGCTCTATAAAATTAAAAACAAATTTTGCACTCTACTCTCGTAAACAACTAATTAACAGAAATATAAGTGAACAAATATAACCCTACTTGAGATGAGATAAAAGTGTGTACATCATTGTATTGTATACTTATACTTTAGTAATTAATTAGTTTGTAACAAACAACGTGACATAACATCATAAAAAAAAACACAAACATAAGGAGAAGGAACGGGACAACGGACAACTCTGAGGGGTCTGACTCAAGGGAGATACAAATGAGGCAACGATGACATCATAGTTTAGTTCAAAATTCCTCCGTTAACAGCGTTGTAGTAGAGAGCACAGGGCGTAATTTTTACTTCACTATTAGGCCAAGTTAATTACTAGGTGTACAATGCAGTTGTCTACTTGCAATATTGAGCGGAGCCAGCATATTAATTCAATGTCAATGACATATTTGGTTCGCATTTTAAATAGAATGCCTATTTGCAGTAGGTATCCAAAGTCAATCATAAGTCAGGATTAAGTGAATGAATTGTCTACTTGCAGGAACCATATTTTATGTTTCATCTGGTTCTCATAAGTTCAATGTCTAATTGCAGTATCCAATGCTAATGATATATTTGGTTCGCATAAATGGAATGCCTATTTACAGATTCTAAAGTCAATGGTACGTCCGGTTCACGTAGACGTATTGTTTACTTGTAGCATAGATAAAACATACTCCCTTAGCTTGTAGTATCCAAACTCAATGGTACATGTAAATGAATAGTCTACTTGCAGTATCCTAAATCAATGGTCCATTTATTTCGTTCACTGTAATAAAATGCCGAATTGCAGTATCCGAAGTCAATGGTAGGCTTAGGCCTACTTCAGCTTCACTTATATGGGATGTCTATGTGCAGTATTCAAAGTCAATGATACGTCGGCTTCATGTCAACGAATTGTTTAATTGCAGTATCGAAACTATGAGTGTTATATTTGGTTCACCTTAATTCAATTTCTATTTGTAGACTGCAAATAGGAATTGCAGTACATATTAAAAGTCTACATTAATGGCACGTCTTGCTCACATAAAATACTGCAAAAGCTATTTACTGTATCCAAACGAAATATGGTGCATTAGCCTAATTCTGGCAACCCTTATGGTTATTCATTATGTAGTAAATTATGCTCAATGCATTATAATCAAAAGCAGGAGTGTAGTATAAGAGAAGTTATAAAGTCAATGATAAGAGCTTCGCTACGCTCTGCTCAATAATTTCGATATCCTGCAAATGAATCATGGTAAACATATGCGATACCTGCATTATTAAAAGGCAATAACGATTATTATTTGAGATCCCAGGTTCGAATCTCCTCGGCGGCCTTAAAATTTTGCTTCTGATTTTGTTAGAATATGATTTTCTTTTAACTTCACTAATCAGTTTTTTTATCTCAGTCATTTATAATTTAATTTTGTGATAAGAATGCATTTTTTATAAATACATTAACTTTTTGTTTGTAATCATTTCCTAACAGCGAATAATTGAGATAGCCTATAATCGATTCTTACAAATATCAATTCGTTTAAGTATAGACCTATAACTTAGGTCTAGTTTTATTTTAGCAGTTAAAAGTAAGAAATATATTGTCAACCACTTTCAAAATTTCCCTTTTATGAAATTAAATTTATCAATACGACTATTTTATTGTCTAAGTTACACCATTTAGTCTTAAACCTTCTGTAAACCAAGTGGTTGTCATTTCATCTCGTAAAATGATTTTGTATTTTTAGCTAAAAGTACATTTTTTACAAATTTACTTGCAAATCAAGGGCGGTGTGATTTTTGTTGGTATGATTATGTTGTAGTGTTTTTTTTAATGACCTCGTTTTATCTTCTCCTTCTCCAAGCAACATGGACTTAGGCCAAATTAGTTGACTATTCATTGTTGTTAAAAAGAACAGAACTATTTTACAATTAAATATAAACGGCATGATTTTAATCACTCATTATAGAACTGATTGTTAATCAATTCGTATTTCATGCAATAGACTTTAATATGCTCTTTAGTATTCATCAGATTTTTTCTTTTGTACTGTATTTATAATGTGGTAGATTTGTTGACTAACATATGTCGAGGCTCTTGTTTACTTTTTAGTGTTGACTCGCAAATAATGTCATGGCAACCAATTAACCCATAAGGCCCATGTTAAATTTCTAAAAGTTTGCATTCATGTAGGGAAAATTCCTATGGTCCGATTTGTACCATTTCAGATTTATACCTTCCCATGGTTGGGTACTATGACTGTGTTAAATTTCGTGAAGATCGCTTCAGCCGTTCAGGAGGAGTATTTGTAAAACAAAAGCAGGAGTGTAGTATAAGAGCTTCGCTCAATAAAAAAAAACAAAGAAAAATTATAAAAAATAATCTTAAAATTTTTCAATTATTAAATGTAACTGTCATAACCTAACCAAACTAACCAAACGTGCATTAAGACACCAAACGTGCTAATTTGTTTTTGGAATTTAATATTTTGTTACCAAAAAAGGCCTTTTTTGTTTTGTTAACAAGTGCAGAGTGGTGACGTTTAGCTGCGCGATAAGCATTTTTTCCATCGACAGAACAGTGAGGCGACCTAGTATTCCAGTACAGGTCCAAGAGTGCTTCATGCGACTGCGATACCTCATGACTAACCCAAGAAGAGCTATGTTCATTCTTTGTATTTGAAGTAGCACAGGAAAACTTACATTAAAAACAAACATATAGTTTTGTTTATAAAATAAAATTATAAATGCCTAAAAATTCAATTTTTTAATTATAAAATTAAACTGTCATACTAACCAAACCAACCAAACTTTCTGATATAAAAAATTTTTTGACAAAAAGTTAGTTCTGCCAGCGGGATTCGAGCCCGGCACCTTCAGATTATCAGTCCGACACGTTAGTCATTCCACCGAAGCCGATGACTGAATTCCGTATCGTTGCGGTAATGGTGTTCCCACAAGAGGAGATCTGACAGCTGACCTCATCGAAGGCTCTTCTATACCTCCCTTGAGTAAATACCCTCTGTTAGCTAACTAACTGCAGCCCAGTCAACAAAGCTCAAAATATGTCCCTCAGCGGGAAAAAAATGGTGTAGTCCCGGATTTTTGCACAGTTGTAGGGGATACCCTCCTGAACAACATACTAAAAGTCCTGACCGATGGGGTGTGAGCTATGTGGGGGAGGGGGGTGTAAATGCACAATTTTTCTGTTTTCTGTAAATATCTCGAAAACGGTGCCCTCTAGCGGTAAAATGTACGTATACAAAAATGAAGAGCATTAAATTTCCAACCATAATGTCCATTACATCGTGTTCCTAAAATCAACACTTAACGAGATACATGGGTCATAAGAAAAAAACATTTAGAGAAACTAGTATTATTGTGGTAAAGTGATTGTTTTATACCACATCAAGTTATATAAACTGATAAAAATAATGCTAAATACTCGTCTATGCAGTACAGCTGTTGAAAAAATTGAGGGGAGAGGAAGTCGGGCCGGACTGGAAGCTGAGAGACCAAACAGTGGTGACTATATATACACTAATTATTAAATCAATGAGATTATATAAGTTCGTTAATTTAACCAAATAATCTACATAAATAAATAAACAATAAATCAACAGCATTTTGATGGTTGTTTGTGAAATCTAAGTTTTTTACTACAAAATTTAAACATTAACATATCAGCTGTTCATATATTATTATTATTATACGGTACAAGAGGGATCCCAAAAGACAGGTGTAATAACATTTTCTGCAAGTTTATTTTAGTTTTAATATTACAGTATGTTATTATGTTTACCACTGTTTGGTCTCTCAGCTTCCAGTCCGGCCCGACTTCCTCTCCCCTCAATTTTTTCAACAGCTGTAATGCATAGACGAGTATTTATCACATTTTTATCAGTTTATATAGCTTGATGTGGTATAAAACAATCACTTTACCACAATAATACTAGTTTCTCTGAATGTTTTTTTTCTTATGACCCATGTATCTCGTTAAGTGTTGATTTTAGGAACACGATGTAATGGACATTATGGTTGGAAATTTAATGCTCTTCATTTTTTTATATGTACATGTTACCGCTAGAGGGCACAGTTTTCGAGATATTTACAGAAAACCGTAAAATTGTGCATTTACACCCCCCTCCACCCCATAGCTCACACCCCATCAGTCAGGACTTTTAGTATGTATGTTTTATCTATGGTATGTTGTTCAGGAGGGTACCCCCTACAACTGTGCAAAAATCCGGGACTACACCATTTTTTCCCACTCATTCGCTTCGTTGACTGGACTACTGACGCCACTGACGGACTGGACCAGACTGGATTGACGCAGGGGCAGGACGCAGGCACAATTTGTTATTCAGGATTAGTTTTGCCAACGGTGTCATTTGGAGGCTTCTGATTGACTATAATGAAGGTTTACTAATTGAAAAATTAGTTTTGTTCATAAAATAAAATTATAAATGCCTCAAATTCAATTTTATAATGTTTTAAATATAAAATTAAACTGTCATAACCTAATTAAACCAACCAAACTTGCTGATAATGAAAAAATCCAAGACAAAAAAATAGTGCCATTAGTGAGATTCGAACCCGGCTCCTTCAGTTTATCAGAGTGCCTCTCCACTATACCATCGAGGCCGATGGTATCAAACCGTATCGTTGCGGTAATGGTGTTCCCTCAGCCAATCAGAAGCCTCCAAATAACACTGTTGGCAAAACTAATCCTGGAATAAAAATTCAGCAGGACGAAGACATTAGATTGACGCATGTCTTGTCACCAACCGTCATACAGCAAACAATTAACGCATAAGAGTGTACCAAGTATAAACCTTTGATTATAACACTACCCTAAGTTGTTGTAGAGTAAATATATATTATATATATATATATATATTTATTTATTTATTTATTGAGCAGAGTAAAGCGGAACTCTTATACTAGACTCAGTGTCAAATTTTTTGTTCAAAAGATCTTATCTAATTTTCACTTCACTAACATTTTTACAATAACAAAATAATGCACTTTCAGGTGTGGTTATAATTCTTTCAATCCTATACTCTAATACGAGCAATGTTTGCTTGTATGTATGTATGTATGCTTGCTTGCTTGCACAAAGATCTCGAAAACGGCTCCGACGATTTTATTCAAATGTTGTAAATAGTTTATTCCTGGCCTAAAAACGAGTGTGCTGCAATTACATCTGCCAACAAAAATCGAATTACGTAGAAAAATAAAACTGAAAGTCACATTTTTTTTAACATTAGTCTTATGGTGTCTTATGGGTGAATAAAAAGTCAAGCCCCCCCCCTCTAATATTTTCCCAAGTAAATATACAGAGATATCCTTTTGGTGGTCGTGCAATCTTAGCAGAAAGTTTCATTTTATGATTTTGAAATTTTTGAGTGTCCCCCCAAAAGGGGAGATTTGGGGGGTAACTCAAATATTTTAAATGTAAACCCCCTTCAAGTGACACCTCATTTTGAAGTGTTTACAAAAACTTAAAGAATGGTGAAAACTAGAGGTCGCTATCTCTTCTCTATCCAAAGTGGTAGCCCGTCAAATGTTGTAGAAAATCAATGGTAAAATTGGTTCGTAATGGTAATATTGGCTACCATTTTGGATAGAGAAGAGATAGCAAACTCTGGTTTTCACCATTCTTTAAGTTTTTGTAAACACTTCAAAATGAGGTGTCACTTGATGGGGGTTTACATTGGAAAAGTTTTAGTACCGTAGCCCCCCAAATCCTTGGGGGGACACTCGAAAATTTAAATGTAAACCACCATTTTTGATACTTTGTTTTGAAGTGTTTACAAAAACTTAAAGAATGGTGAAAACTAGAGGTCGCTATCTCTTCTCTATCCAAAATGGTAGCCAATATTACCATTACAAAGCAATTTTACCATTGATTTTCTACAACATTTGACCTCTAGTTCTCACCATTCTTTAAGTTTTTGTAAACACTTCAAAATGAGGTGTCACTTGAAGGGGGTTTACATTTAAAATATTTGAGTTACCCCCCAAATCCCCCCTTTTGGGGGGACACTAAAAAATTTCAAAATCATAAAATGAATCTTCCTGCTAAGATTGCACGACCACCAAAAGGATATCTCTGTACAATGGGAAAAATATTAAAGGGGGGGGGGTCTTGACTTTTTATTCACCCTGTATAGATGGGATGTCTATTGTCTACTTCAGTATGCAATAGTCAATAATGTTACTTCCTCAAGAAGGCACTCGCTAGAACTTGGAAGAAAATCATAAATGTAGAAGTTGATTTTATTAGACAAATATACTGATGAGGTCTACCAATAAATTTTTTTGTAAGCTTTTTTACAATAACTCATCTTGGGAGCATTTCTTGATCAATGGTTTGATGCACGTCTACCCTATGTTAGATATATAGTATCTCTGAAATTGATCTAAAATTCTGGAATTTTTTTTGTTTTTGTTTGTACAACATACAATATTATGATCCATAATAGTTAATATGTAGTCATCTGGAGATATTTGTTTTTCCACCAGAATTCAAAATAAATAATGTGTCAAAATTTATTGTCTTAAATTAAAACCATGAATTTTCAACAGTTAATGAACACAAGTAAAAATAGTCTTAAATTTTATGTTCGCATACTTCCATCAGAAAAATTTGATTGGGATTGTCTCAGAATTGAAATTGAAGAAAAAATACTTTATGTTCGGCACTCATTAAAACCACCTCTAACATTTATATGTTTCAAAACTGATAGGATCTTTTTGAACAGTTGCCAAAATGAAGTGTATTCATCCATCATAAATAATCATGTATTTGGGCAAATATTCAATGGAGTAGACCACACAGTAATGAGTTACGGCCAAAACTATTCTGGCAAATCATTCACCATGTCTGGCCTTTATAACCAGTATGAATTTCGGGGAATAATTCCTAGATTTGTTATAGACCTGTTTGAGTACTTGGAAACTAAACTTCAAGATTACATAGTGAAAGTATATCTAAGTGCGGTTGATATTTGTAATGATCATGTGTATGACTTGTTGTCTAAAAGAAAAGAGTGTTGCAAGGAATTGAAGAAAGTGAGGGAAGTGCAAGTATCAACAGGGTTAGAATGTTTAGAACTGATATTTAAGTCAGAAGCATGGAGATTTATTGTTAAAAACAAGACATACAATTCTCACTCTGGCACTAATGTTGTCACATTTAAGGTAACATTTATTTCAGCCAACTGCAATGAACCAATTGATAAAACTAGCAAGATACACTTTGTGGATTTAGCTGGCGTGGAAACAATATCTAGAAATCCCCTAACTTCATTTAAGGATCAGCAAACTCAAGGTGGTGCAAATCTTACAAAATCTTTGCTAGAATCATATGCACTCCGATCCAAAAACAGAGCTAATCAAGTTATCCTTAAGAATGGGAATCAAAACATGCATGTACTAACAAAATATTTAAATAAGTCTTTTTCCACCACTTCATGTATCTCTTTGATCTGCCACGTACGCCCAAATCATGAAGACATAATGATAACTTTGTCTGCTTTGAAATTTGGCAGGACTTTCCAAACATTTCCACTTTTAAAACCAGAAGAACATACAGAGATTAATTACGATATGACTATTCAAAAATTAAAACAAGAAGTACAGTCTCTAAAAGACGAGTTGGTAATGATAGATACCAAAGAAATTAAAATCCCAATTAAATTATGCCAAGAAAGGATTGATTTTGCAAAAAGAACAGTGTTCTCTTTTTTGAATGGAGAACTTTCAGACAATGACCTTCTTTCCCTTATTGAAGACCCAAACTTAATTTTAAATCTTATTAAATCCATTCACAACCAACCAGTGGTAGAGTCGTCAGTTTCCATTCAGACAGAATTCCCACTAAATTTAGAGCTGACAGATATTAAGGTTGGCACAAAAGCAACTATTGTCCAAGAGGATAGACAAACATCATTATTTAAAAGTCCGTCAGGTAAGGAACCTCCAAAGAAAAAATCTGGAAACGTAAAGGATACGTCTAAGTCTAAATTGACTGAAAACATGACTAAACAATCAAAAGAAACTCAAGTAAATCTCATTGAGCCCAATGTGACTCTACCCCACATTCACAGTAGGGAAAGTTTATGGGCAATGTTTTTAATCAAAAACCCCAGTATTCATGACATGTTTGAAAAATTAAATGCTGATGTTGCTGAAAAGAATATGAAAATGAATTGTGAAATATCATTGTATGATAGTATCAACCAAACCATGAATGAACACCAATTGGTTTTACATCAGCTGGTGACTTACGGACATAAAGGGAACCAGGAAAATATTGAGAAAGGTTTTAGGATGCCAGAAAATGAAGCATATTTAGTACAAGAGTTGCAACTACTTCAAAGGGATCTAGAAAATAGTAAACAGAGATTGATTAATTCCCAGTTTGACTGGCTGGAAACACTTGAGAAGCTAAGTAAGAGGAAAGAAATCATTGAAATTGACTTTAAGCAATTCTGTGTTGAAAATAATTATGTTGCAATTGAGAGTTATGTGAATGAGGAAGAAGTACAACAAAACCAGTCAATAACAAATGAAGACACCACAGACACAAACCTCAAAAAGTTTTACCATTTCCTTCAAAATAAGCATCTTTATAAAGTAGTTTTAAAATAATATTGATATCAGTTACATGCGACATGTCTATTTTTTTAGTAGGGGCCTATAAAAATAGTTATCTTTATATAAACAACTATAATCTCTTTTGAATTGTATTGAATAACTTGAATTCCTGAATATAGGCCTAGCACAGTTCACTAGCGCAACAGCCAAGGAAAATCTTCTTATCTTCTCCTATACAAACCTGTCATGGTAAAGTATAATAATAGTAATATAAAATACCCCCGCCGCAGCAAACCTGCAGAGTAAGCAAATTTTCATTAGCCTGATTGGATTTACACGAAAATGTCTCCTTAAAAATATTACATTTATTCCCTATTTAAATAGAACTAGAGGGCCCATGCTGTTCCGCAGCGTTAAAATAAATATAACTAGAGGACCCATGCTGCTCCGCAGCGTTAAACTAAAAATATAATATCCAAGAACTAATCAAATTTATGATTTTTGATGAGTAACACATTACTTGATACAGATTCAAACCACCAATAGCTCAATTTAAAGCCTATAATTACTGATTATTTTGAGTCTAAAACATACATGAACAATACTGGAGCTATTGGTTTTTAGTCATAGAAAAACCTTATGAAAAATAATGTTTATGTGTTTGTTCTCCTCGCGTTTGCTTGAAACTTGTCCGATTTGAACAACTAATACAGTAGTAGCTTAAATGAATGCAGGTATTACACTGAAGGTCCTTAGACAAAAAAAAGGACTGTATAATTATAACTGGTGAAATACATCTTAAATTCAAGTAAGACTTTAAAAATGAATCAAGTTTTTCGGTCAAATAATACAGTAGGTACTACCCCTACCTATATACCTATATGCCATATGCCGATGCATTTACTTCGATGGCTGATGCTTGATGTGAAATATTTGTGTGTAGGCCTTGAATTTAAGACCTCAATCATGAAAATCGGTTAGGTAGAAGAGCCAAACGCACTCGGAAAAGAGACACCAAATTTAACTCCCATAAGAAATTCCAACCATGGAATTTTTCCATGGGAAGAAAATTTTGTTGACGTATAAGCCGAGTGGGGTTAAAGATAAATAGATACCCATGATTGATGGGGGGTAGCGGATTTTTATCCCCCTGGAATTTTACCCCCTGGGCAAACGTGACGTCACAAACCAGGGGGTAAAATTCCGGCCGCGAACTTTTGAGTTTCGCGACATCAGCTCGATGGATTAAACATATATTTTCACGGTTGTGAGTTTAATCAGAACACATCAAATTATAAAAACCTAGAATCTACGGCCCGGATTTTTACCCCCGGAATTTTACCCCCCGAATTTTACCCCCCGGAATTTTACCCCCGGAATTTTACCCCCTGGCCAGATATAAATTAGTGAAAATGATTAATTATAGTCATTCAGTCAGGGCCGGATTAAGCATTTTTGCGCCCCTAGGCCCAAATGATTTTCCGCCCCCTAGTCTGGTGTCACAGTTAGGTACTTTCCTTCAAACAGTTATTAAAAACTGTATCATGCCCATAGGCCTAAGTTAATTGCCTGAATACCACTCCTCGTTGGTATCATTGCAAGTTTTGTTTGTAGAATTGACTTGTTTAGCCTTTAAAAAATGCCGTCTTAAATACTTTTAGCAATTTTATGCTTTTAATAAATGCTCACGTTTTTGTCCGTGTGACTGAAACAAAACAACTCAACCCACTGACACTGAGCATTCCTGCAAAAAAAAAACATGGCCACTGAATCCAATTCCAGGCCCAAAAAAATGAATTCCATGCAGTACGTGATACCATAGATTAAACATACTCATTTAGTAGATTTGTCATCATTTTGGATTAGCTGAAAACAATTCTTGATTCCGGCCAACCGTACCGATCCTTAGGTCTGAGGAGAAAATGACAGCATTAATAGTGCTTTGGAGGGTATTGAATTTTTCTAAAATCTAATGCAAACTGAGGTTAATATTTTTTGGTTGATTTTAAAGGGAAATTCAACGTTGTTTTATTCAACACAACTTATTATATATTTTAACTTGATCCTGCAGATTGTTGTAAACTAATCAAAAGATTAGTTAATATCTTTTGTTTTTTGAGGTTAGGGTGGTATCAATGTCTAGCACACATGCGCCCCTAATCACTCTGATGAATACTGCCGAGCCCGAGCCCGAGCCAGCATAAGTGAGTGGTAGTGCATTGGCAATACGATGCGTGCCGCTCGGGCGCTCGTCAACGTCAACATCCCTACAGCCTACTCCCGTATAACCAAAATGTTCGTTACCAATTTTGTAACGAAATTGATGCGTAATTCTGAAAAATAGTTTAAATTTCCTAACAATTATTTCTTCTTTTATGAACTTCAGAATCACAATACTTTGGAGTTTTTTTTATCAACTATGACTTTTTATTTTTAGATAGCCTATGTATAAAAAAAATTACCCTCGGCCGTGCGCCCTCTGGGACCTTGCGCCCATAGGCCCGGGCCTACCGGGCCTATTGGGAAATCCGGCCCTGCATTCAGTTTTAATTTAATGGTAAATATTTTATTATTAAGTAGCCTTTCTTAATTTATATGTAACATTAACAAATCGAACAGGGTTTTAATATTAATTTTGATATTCGAGTGTCAGGATTCGATCTTTGAAGCCAACTGTTGGTTAATATGATCAAAATAAAACAGCAAATTCTGTTTACTTAGTTGAGATTACAAAATAAATAAATAAAGATAGGCTACTAAATAATGAAATGTTTACAATTAATTAGGGATGGACGAGATTGGATTTTTAGTTCGAGACGAGACGAGACGAGATTTTTTATTTCTCATAAAATTTCGAGACGAGATCGAGACGAGATTTCTCTTCTCATACACAACGGGAAATGCACGTTCGAAATTTTTACCTGATTTTGTAACATTGTTAGATGACTGTTTAAATACTAAAATAATGATAATAGGCAAGAATATTTACAATCTTTCATTAAATAACATCAGCATAACATTTTTTTATTAATCACGCCTAACTTATTAAAAATGCCTACGATTAGGAAACATGGTGATATCAGTTAGGATAGAGTTCAACTTATCCTAAAATAAAATAAATCATAAAATAAAAGCAATATTAATTTTTATAAAATAGTTACTTGTTTTGACTTTTTTATAGTAATAAAACATTCCTCACACTGCTTACACTTAACAAAACTTCTCAAATGTTATTAAAGTAATATTATTAAAATAATGAAAGTAATATTTACATTAAAAGAATTAAAGTAATATTTACATTAAAAGAATTAATTAAATAAGAACGCCTTCGAAAAGGAAACGCAACTACAACACGCTCCTGTATTGCGGGTATTGCATTGACTTTCTGCAGGCGTTTTAAATTTTTTTTATTTTTTTTTTTTTTTTATTCTCGTCTCAATAAAAATCTCGGCCAAAAAGTAATCTCGTCTCGTGTAACGAGATTGAAAATTTCCCGAAAATTTCCCGAAATTTCGAGACTTGACCATCCCTACAATTAATTAAAAACAGAAATAAGAAAATCAATCATTCAATTACTAAAATCAGCCAGGGGGTAAAATTCCGGGGGTAAAAATCCGGCCCGTACATCTTCAGTTGTCTAAACGCTAGTTATATGGACAGGGGGTAAAATTCCGGTTTTTATCGCTAATCTAATTAATCACGCTCTGACTATTTTCATTAGACTTCCAAATCCGCGGGGGTAAAATTCCGGCCGCAAACAAACTTTTGGCCACTCAGGTTACTACGTCATAGTGACGTCAGCTTTGCCAAGGGGGTAAAATTCCAGGGGGATAAAATTCCGGCGACCCATTGATGGCAAATCCAAATCTGTGTGTGCATACCTTCAATTTGAGACCTCATTCGTGAAAATCGGTCCGGTAGAAGAGGCAAACAAACTCTAAAAGAGAAACCAAATTTAAGTCCCATAAGAAATACATGGCGAGCAAATTTTGTTTACGTATAAGCCGAGTAGGATTATATATAAATATATGTTGATGCTTGATGGAAAATCTGAGTGTTCATACCTTCAAATTTGAGACTCCATTCATGAAAATCGGTCGGTTAGAAGAGCCAAACAAACTCGGAAAAGAAAATCCAAATTGAACTCCCATAAGAAAAACATGGGGAGCAAATTTCGTTTACCTATAAGTCGACTGGGGTTATAGATAAATATATGCCGATGCTTGATGGAAAATCTGTGTGTGCATACCTTCAATTTGAGTTCTCAATCATGAAAATCGGTCGGGTAGAAGAGCCAAACGAACTCGACAAAGAGAAATCAAATTTAACTCCCATAAGAAATACATTGAGAGCAAATTTTGTTTACGTATAAACTGAGTGAGACTATAGATAATTATATGCCGATGCTTGATGGAAAATCTGGGCGTGCATTCCTTCAATTTGAGACCTCAATCATGAAAATCGGTCTGGTAGAAGAGCCAAACGAACTCGGAAAAGAAAAACCAAATTGAACTCCTATAAGAAATACATGGGGAGCAAATTTTGTTTACGTATAAACTAGGGATGGACGAGATTGGATTTTTAGTTCGAGACGAGACGAGACGAGATTTTTTATTTCTCATAAAATTTCGAGACGAGATCGAGACGGGATTTCCCTTCTCATACACAACGGGAAATGCACGTTCGGAATTTTTACCTGATTTTGTAACATTGTTAGATGACTGTTTAAATACAAAAATAATGATAATAGGCAAGAATATTTACAATCTTTTATTAAAAAACATCAGTATAACATTTTTTTATTAATCACGCCTAACTTATTAAAAATGCCTACGATTAGGAAACATAGTGATATCAGTTAGGATAGAGTTCAACTTATCCTAAAATAAAATAAATCATAAAATAAAATATTAATTTTTATAAAATAGTTACCTACTTGTTTTGACTTTTTTTATAGTAATAAAACATTCCTCACACTGCTAACACTTAACAAAACTTCTCAAATATTATTAAAATAATTAAAGTAATATTTACATTTGAAGAATTAATTAAATAAGAACGCCTTCGCA